CAAGTGTGAGTGTTCTTGTGCACATGCCCTCTCTTCCCATCAACCGGCAGTTCCATTCTCCACTTGAGTCCTCCGTGGCCATGTCACTGACTCTGGGCCCAGGAGTCCTCAGGTCTCCTCGCACTGCTTGCCAACCAGGTCTCCAACTGGGTCCACAGAAGCCCTCTGAATATTGTAAGGCTTAGCTCGCCGCTTCATCGCTGCTTTTACCCCATTTCTCCCCAACGGTGATGCATGTGTTTACCAATCCGAGCATGCATTTCCACTGAGTCTCAGTTTTGTGTGTGTGTGTGTGGGGGGGGGCTACATTGGTGGGACCCAGAATATAAGACTTTTTTATAAATCTTTATTCATCAATTTGCTTTTTTTACTCATTGTATTTTTGGCTTCTTGTTTTTATAGCTAAATTTTGAGGCAAAATTATGATGGAAAGCAATGGATACAGAATCCAGATTTTTAAAAAAAAATAATAAAATATTATAGTCAGCTTTCTGTTACTCTAGCCAGGTTGCCCTCTCTTCATCTCTTCAACTGCTCCATAGTATTGATACATGTGATCATGGATTTTACTAACTCCCTAATGATTTCAAAGGATCTCTCGTACTGTAGTGGTTACTAGTAGGGCTTTTAACCTCAAGGTCAGCAGTTCGAAACTACCAGCCATTTTTTGGGAGAAAGATGAGACTTTCCTCCCGTAAAGATTAACAGCCTCGGAAACCCAATGTAGGGTCGACTCCTCAGCATACAACCACCACCAACCACTGATGATTTGAAGTTAAAATCTTTCTGATAGACTGTATTAGCTCGTTACTCTAAGTGTGAAATAAACTAAGGGCATAGGTCACCTAAGAACTTGTGTGAAATGCAGAATATTAGTCCTTCCCTATTCCTACTGAATCAGAATCTGCATTTTAACAGGATTTCCAGCTGATTAAGTACACATTAAAACCTGAGAAACTCTTTAGTAGGTCATTTTAATATTTTAATTGGTATCCTACTCTGCATATTTCAAAAACAGCTCAATATCTCAGTATTGTCAGTTTATTAAAATAACTATTGATTCAGTGTCTCAGGATATCTTACACCACTAGAGCATTTATTTTAATGTACAATTTTTTTTCCATGTACAATTTTGATTGTAGATGTTCTTTGTTTTCCTTAGATTATTTAACTGCTGTATATGTTTCCTTTTCATTTTAAAATTGAGTATTAATCACTACTGAGAAAGTTAGTACTGTCTGACTCCCAAATACTTATGATATATGTATTCCAAAATTTAATGAATTTGTGTTTAATAATAACTTGTATACAAAGAAAAAAGACAGGAAACATATTACAATGCTAGCAGTAGTTGGTAATCTCAGTAGTAGAATTATGTGTGATTCCCCCCCACACACTTTTTTTGTTCTTCTGTATTAAATAACATTGAGAGGAACCCTGTTGGTGCAGTGGTTAAGTGCTCATCTGCTAGCCAAAAGGTTAGCAGTTTGGGACCATGGGTGAAAGCTGTGGCAGTTGGCTTCAGTAAGGTTTACAGCCTTGGAAACCCTATGGGACAGTTCTGGCCTGTCCTGTAGGGTCACTGTGAGTCAGAGTCTGCTTGACAGCAGTGGATTTAGGTTGGATTGACTTATACTAACATGTTTTGCAATGAGAGAACTTGCTTCACATTTTAATATTTTCTTCCTTTGTAAAAATTTGATTGTCATTTTGAGTGCATATACAACAAAGGGTCACACACCACATATATATAGTGTTTTAGCCGTCTTTATTTCATGTATTATGTTGTGAGCCTTTTCTATATTGTTAAATAGTCTTCAGAAATATGACTACTAATGGTTCTAGTGTAGCTGCATAGTTATTTTCTTAAAACTATTTCTTGTACAATTAGTTTCTAACAGGGAATTTGGTTTTGTTAATGGATTGCATGATTAGTTACATATGTGTATAAATGTAAAACAGAGACCGTTTCTGTCTTTTCTTGTCACTTTAGCAAGCTTCACTGCCTGCACTTTAGTTCTTGGGATTCAAGCAAAGAGTGGACAGTGGATATGCCTCAGAACGAGGATGTTGAAGCCATATGTCTCGGTCATGGATGGGCTGCTGCTGCCACTAATGCCTTGCTACTCCGACTGTTTACCATTGGAGGTGTTCAGAAAGAGATCTTTAGCCTTCCTGGGCCGGTAGTGTCAATGGCAGGACATGGAGAACAGCTTCTCATTGTTTACCACAGGGGTAAATTATTACATCTTTGATCTTTGCAATTTTACCATTTCCTGAAATAAGATGGGCATTATATGACTTTTACATTTGTTTTAGCATTTGGATCAGTGTTAATTTTTGATTATACAGAATGTTGATGTTGCACTCACTGATAGCAATGAAAAGAAAACATTTTCTTTGTTAGAACTGTATTAGAATGTTCCAAGATTGTTATTGTTCAGTGCTGTCTATCTAGTTGGTTCCAATTCATCGCAACTCTATGTACAACAGAATGAAACACCACCTGATCCTGTGCCACCTTCACAGTTGCTGTTACGTTTAAGCCCATTGTTGATGCCGCTGTGCCAGTCCATCTCATTGGAGGTTTTCCTCTTTATCATTGATCTTCCAAGATAGAGTTTGGCTAATGACTTACATTCTAGATCTCCCTTTTGGTGAGCTTTATTAAAGAACTTTCAGAGTTGAAATACCTAAAAAGCTAAATTAACTTCTATTGTGAAGCACCAGAACTATGAGGGTAAGTCAAAAAGTAATGCTACAGAATCGTAGACACCTTTATTAAACATAAATCTCAAAAAGTGAAGCTACTGTACTTGGCATATCGTCCGTATACTTCTGAAGGCTGTGCTAACATCTCTAACCCTTCCCTAAGGAATTCCTTCCTTAAGGAAATGAAATTCTTCAGTTTACGCCACATCAAAAGGGCAATTTTGATTTCCTTGACGGACTCAAACCAGGTTTAAAATGTTTTTTGAGTTTGGGAAGCAAAGAGAAGTCTGAAGGAGCCAGATGAGGGCTGTAATGATGGAAGGAATGAGGTTTCTCGACAAAATTATTGTAAGATAGCCCTTGTTAAACTTATCCTGACGGAAAAAATGTTCTTGGTTCACCTTTCCTGGCTTTTTCTTACCAATGCAGTTTTCACTTTTCTTAAAACTTTTTCTAAATAAGCCCCGATGATTGTCCTTCCTTCCAGAAAAATTCTTCTCTGCCTTCAATTTTAGCTGGCCCAGAAAATTCCCTTGAAAGTCAATGTTTTGATTGCCCTTCTTTCTTGAAGGCACCATAAAGAGACTGTTGTTAAGTGCCATCGAGTCGGTTCCTACTCATAATAACTCTGTATTGGGTTTCCAAGGAGCGGCTGGTGAGTTTGAACCGCCAGCCCTTCGGTCCAGTGCTTTATCCCCCAGCGCCATACCATACTGTAACTTTTACATTTATTTTAGCATTTGGATCAGTGTTAATTTCTTATTCTACAGAATGTTGATGTTGTATTCATTGATAGCAATGAAAAGAAAGCTTTTTTTTTTTTTTT